GCATAGTCGAGTCATTTCTAGTATGATATATTCAATTATAGTATAATCGATTCAAATTCTAATATGATCAATTCAATTCTAGTATGATCGGTTCAAATTCTAGTATGATCAATTCAAATTCTAGTATAGTCGAGTCAAACTTAGTATAATCGAGCCCGTGATGTAGATATGGAATCTAAACATGTTCATCTTATTCTATAACATGTTCATTTTATTATGTAACATGTTCATCTTATTCTATAACATGTTCATTTTATTATGTAACATGTTCATCTTATTCTATAAATGACAATTGACAATTTTAAGATGATTAACAATTGACAATTGGCAGAAAGAAAGAAGATGACAATTGACAATGGTACTCGTACAAAAATAGCAGTGTGCACTGGTTTTAGGCTTCAACCTATGGTAATACAAACTGTGGGTTTATAGTTTGATTAAAAAAAAAGTCCCTTCGGGAACATCCGATAAAATAAGAACGATACACAGAAGATTAGTATGGCCCATGCACAATGATGACACGCAGAAATCGAGAAATAGTTTGAAATATATATATATATATATACATATAAACAAAGAAAAAAGAATATTTTGCTTTATGATATGATATAAAATATAGGATAGCCAATAAGTTGATCACTAGTACCAGCCATATCCGCAGTACTACGTTTTGATAAAGAAAAATGCTACATTGTCAACCTCGCGTACAACTAGGTTGACAACACAAGTGTAAATATTCACTTGTGTATTTTTTTTATTTTTAATTTTATGAATGTTTACACTTGTGTTGTCAACCTAGTTGTACACTAGGTTGGTTATATAGCATTACTCTTTGATAAAAAGATATATTTTTTTTAATAAAGGTATGATAATATAGAAATCTCTTGTGATGCACAGATAAAGGATATTTATTAATATTTATAATTAAAATTTTTATTAAAGAATCTATAATAATATAAAAAAATTGTTCGAAAAAATATGGAAACAGTGACTTAAAAAATAAAATATCCACTTACTAATATAAGCATTTTTTTTTTTTTGAACCATAGATTGTATTACTCAAAACCCTCAAAAGGAGAAATATATTAATATATAATAAGAATTAACATAATTCACTTTTAGAAACACTTTCCCTCCAATTTCATTAATTATTGCTTAAAAATAGTAAATTAATAAAAAACAATGTAATTAATGTACATAATCTTTTTAGTCAAATATTTACTATTATTACATTTATTAGTTGAATTTAAATTTAGGATGATTTAGTTTTATGGAAACAAATATGACGGTATTGTAGAATCTTTCGAAATCCTTAGTTTAAATATATAGACTTGATTGAGCAATTATAGAGAATTAATCGCTAATCTTTATATCTATATTATATTTCCTGTATTGAGTAAAACATAATAAATTAATACTTATGTTATTTTTCATACATCTTTTTGTTGGCATAGTAGAGTTGCAAGATTATTTTTGTCTTCGTAGATAGGATAACCAAATACAAAAACATAAATAATATTTATGTGCCGCTAAAAAATATTTTGGACAAAATGTAGAAATGGCTTTTAGAAATTACTTAATTAATTTAGGGTATAAAGTTGACAAAATTATAAATCTAATTTTGGTATAAAGTTGATGATTTTATTTTAAGTATCTGATAGCCATTTTTATCTTTCGTAGAAAATGTGTTGTTAATAATAAATTTCCAATTTTGGTGTATAAAGTGAGTGATTTATTTTTGGTATGAAATGTTCAAAATTAGGTAGTATGAATTTTTTTTGGAATGGATAGAAGTATATTTGAAATTATTTAAAACAAAATAAAAGCATTTATAATGCACAAATGTTGTTATCACTTAAATTTTGACAAATGTCAATTGTTTATATGGATTGTGAACCACATAAGATATTTCTTAAGTTCACAACTTTAAATCTAAAAAATTATCTGCGTGCACAATGTGATCAAACATAATACTGTCAATTGGCAAAAATAAAAATAAAATATAAATAAGAAACAAAAAAAAAAAAACAATTAATAAATAGATATTTTGAAAATGGTAATAATATTTCTCTCTCATCTCTCAGTTGGTTGATTAGAATGTAAAATAAAATGTGGATGAACCACATTCTTATAAAATCAAGGTGATATGATTCTTAAAATTTTGCATATTTTCATAATAATTTGCCATAATATATTGATGATAATTCGACAAA